AACGAACACGGAAGATTTATATAGTACTTTAGTTTCATACTACTTTATTACTAAAAGCAAACACCTCTTACTTTAAACTACTTTTTCATATGTAACTATTGTATGCTAGTCTTACTTTTTGCCAAAATCAGCGTATAATGAAGAGATGGCTTTGTTTCATGAGATTCGAACTTGATGTTATGCTTTAAAATAAACTCAGTACTTTTAGAAACATAACATATGTGTTCCTGGAGTTTATATAATAGTAATTTTAGAAGAGTAGCATCTTTTTTTAGAGGGTTGGGAATACAAAAAAAAGAAAATAATAGAAAGAAAACAATTTGACTGCAATTCATGTTTTTTGTACTCTAGGTTTTGTTTTTAGAGCTTTGAATCTCACAATACATATGGGATCAAATGAAATATTTCATTGTTATGTTCACAAAAAATATAAAGAACTCTAGAGAAAATAGTGTGCTTTGTAATACCCTCTGGAAAATGCCAAAAAAATTTTTTTTAGTCAATATTTTCTTTTGAGCTTTATTAAATGTTGCTGATGATAGTTCCAATATTCTATGTGATCATTTTAATTTTTATGTTAATATCAAATAAGTTAACAGTGTTAAAACCGGCATTCTTTAAAAAGTTTTTTTTTCAAAGTTTATATAACTTAAAATTAACATATATGTATATTTAAAGTAAAAGGTTTAATTAAGCCTTCCTAAATTGAAATATTTTATTTTGTCAGCTGAGAAATATGTTTTTTAGATGTAAAAAAGCAAGTGAAATTCCGAATGTTAAGATGAGTTTAATTAAAAAATTTTTTTTCACAGTATTTGGCTGGATGATATAATCTTTGCTACTTGTTGTATTACATTTGGCATGTTTCTGTTTGTAAATCAGACGTGCTCATTTGTTATGTTCAGTTTTTTAGCTGGTTTGTTCTTGGGAATATTTGACCCTAAGAAAGATTTTCATTTTCACCAAACAATGCAAATTAGATGTTGATTGCATTGTTAAATATCAACACTTTTTGGGAATCTGAATGTAGGGGCAAACAGAATTTTAAAATACAAGTTGTTAATTACTTGCTTGGGAAAGTTTAAATACAGAAAATTTTGGTGAAATCAGATTGCATCACACGTATTCCATTCATTCAGCAAAAGGAAAAAGGAGGATTCACATGGATTTTATTACCCAGATAGGGATGCTGAAAATATTCAGAAGTTGATATTGACCTAATATTTTTAATGTAAAATACATATATATTTTCTTTTGTAGAATTCCAACAAAACTGATTAAGAAACGTTCACATTTGATTAATTTGAACCTTCTAGTCTTCTGCTCCCACCCATCACTCTTCACCTGTATCTATTATCATCTTCCTTTACTTAGCAAACAAAATTTTGAAAGCCTATGCAAAGAGTACTATAATGTTACTATAATAATAATTTTCACACAATTGTCTTTTTAACATCTTTACTGAGATACGATTCACATACCATAAACTTTGCTCATTTAAAGAGTATAATGCAGTATTTAGTATATTCACAGAATTGTGCAACCATCACTACAGTTTAAGTTTAGAATGTTTCATCACCCAACAAATAAACTCTACCCAATAACAGTGACCCCGCGTCCTCCACTCCATTGACACTATACAAACACCAACTTACTGTCTGTCTCTATGGATTTACCTATTCTAGACATTTTATATAACTAGAATCACACAATATGTGGTCTTTTGTGGTTGGTGTCTTCTAGATACCACATTTCTGAGTTTTATCGACGTTGTAGCATACATTAGTACTTCATATGTTTTATTGAATAACATTCCATTGTATGGATGAAATCATATTGAATTTGCCCATTAATCAGTTGATGGACATTTGGGTGGTTTCTGCTTTTTGGCTGTTATGCATAATGCTGCTATGAACATCTGTGTACAATTTTTTTGTTTGAACACCTGCTTTTATTTCTTTTGGATATATATGTAGAAGAGAGTTACATGATTATTCTGTGTTTAACAATTTGAGGAACTGTGAGACTTTTCCAAGATGGTTTCACTATTTTAGATTCCCACCAGCAGTGTATGAGTATTGTTCTGATTTCTCCAAATTCTGGCCAATGCTTGTTGTTATATATCTTTTTGATTACAGCCATTTTAGTGGCTATAAAGTGGTATCTCATTGTAGTTGTGACCTATATTTCTCTGATGGCTAAATACGTTGAGCATCTCTTTATGTGATTATGGCCACATATATATCTCCTTTAGAGAAATGTCTTTTTAGATCCTGTGTCCATCTTTATATTGGATTATTTGTATTCTTATCGTTCAATTTTAACAGTTCCTTATATATTCTGATTACAAGTCTGTTATTATACATGTGGTTTGAAAATATGTTTTACCATCATATGGGTGGTTTTTTAATTTTCTTGAAGGTATGCTTTGAAGTATGAAAATTTTAAATTTTGACAAATTCATCTATTTTTTCTTTTGTTACTTATATTTTTCTTTTGCTGTCTTGTTTTTGTGGAGTAAACATTGCCTAATCCAAGGTGATAAATGTTTACTTCTGTGTTTTCGTTTAATAGTTTTACCTTGCGCACCTATGTCTGTTATCTATTTTGAGTTACTTTTTGTATATGATATGGGTTAGGGATTTTAATTCACTCAGTGTCCAAGCATTATTTGCTGAAATGACCATTCTTTCCCCATTAAATTTTCCTGGCACCTTTGTCAAATATAAGATAATTGTAAATATGAAGTTATATATTTGTTAATTTAATGATTTTAACAAATTATAATTGTATACAACTAGAAGTACAGAGTGATGCTATTATCTATAACGTACATTATAGATGTATATATACACAGGGTGAAATGATTGAATGAAACTAAATATATCCATAACCTTACTTTATTCCTACTGTCTAGAGGCAGCTTTTTACTGTTTGACCAACATTATCCTATTCCACCTTACCCAGCCTCTGGTAACCACCATTGTTTTAGATTCCACGTATAAGTGAGACAAGGTGGTCTTTGTATTCTTACATCTGGCTTATTTCACTTAGCATAATGTCCTCCACATTTGTCCACGTTATTGCAAATACAGAATCTTCTTCTTTTGTAAGGTTGAATAGTACTCCACTGTATATGTGTGTGTGTGTGTATATATATAATATATACACACACATATATATATTATAATATATATAATATATACACACATATATATATATTATATATATGTTATATATATACACACACACACATATGGGGGAGTACGATTCAGCCTTATATATATTTTATATATTTATTACATTTTCTTTATCCATTCATCCATTGATGGACACTTAGACTGATTCCATAACTTGTCTATTTTAAATAATGCTGCATGTAAAGGTATATTTCCGGGCATTCAGTTCTGTTTCAATGGTCTGTATGTCAGTGTACTATATGTATACCTTTTCCAGTTCCACAGAGTTTTGATTTTTGTAGCTGTGTGTTATATTTTGAAATTTAGAGGTGTTAGTCCTCCAATTTTGTTCTTGCTTTTTAAATTCTTTTTTCTGTTTGGCATTTCTATATGACTCATAGGATCAGCCTGTCAATATCTGCAAAAACAACCTAGCTGGGATTTTGATAGGGATTCTGTTGAAGATTTAGTTGGATATGGGAAGCAGTGTCATCATTACAATATTGACTATTTTAATTCATAAGCATGGGATGTCTTTTCATTTAATTGCATTTTTTTGTTTCTTTCAGCAATGATTTTTAGTTTGCATAGTTTATACTTCACCATTTTCTGTTAAATTTATTTCTAAATATTTATTCTTTTTCATGCTATTATAAGTAGAATTGTTTTCTTAATATTAATTTTGGTTTGTTCATATCTATCCAGTGTACATAAACACACGTGATTGCTGTAGTTACATGATTTTTGTATTTTCATTTTGCAACTTGCAACATTGTTGAATTGGTTTATTGCTTCTCATAGGTTTTCTTGTGGATTCTTTAAGATATTTTATATGTTAATATAAAACCCTGTCATCTGCAAAGTAAGAAACGTTTACTTCCGTTCTGATCTGGATATATTGCATTTCTTGCCTGATTGGCCTGTTTAGAGCCTCAATTATAATGTTGAAAATAAGCTTCTAGAGCATAAATCCTTGTCTTGGTCTTGGTTTATTTACTTCTGTCAATCTTTGGCCATTAAGTGAAATATTAGTTTGGCATATATTTTTTCCACGTTTGTTAAGTTGCCTTTACTTAAAATATTTATTTATTTTTTAACTCTTAAAGTACGTTCAGGGGCTGCATGTGATTTACCCATTTGTTACATAGGTAAAATATGTGTTAATGGGGTTTGCTGTAGGAATTATCCTGTCATTCAGGGAGTGAGTATAGTACACAATAATTAGATTTTTAACTATAACCTCTCCTAGTAGTCCTCAGGGTCTGTTGTTCTTATCTTTGTTTCCTTGTATATTCCGTGTTTAGCTCCCACTTATAAGTAAGAACATGTGATATTTGGTTTTTTTGTTCTTAAGTGGCTTAGGATGATGGCCTCAAGCTGCATCCATGTTTCTGCAATGGACATGACTTTATTATTTTTATGGCTGTGTAGCATTCCAGGGTGTATATGGATCACATTTTCTTAAATCCAGGCTACTGTTGAAGGGCATCTAGGTGAATTTCATATCTTTGCTACAGTTAATAATGCTTCAATGAACATACAAGTACATGTATCTTTTTTGTAGAATGATATATTTTCTTTTAGGTATATATCCAGTAATGGGATTGCTGGTTCGAGTACTAGTTCTGTTTTAAGTTGTTTAAGAAATCTCAAAATGGCTTTCCATAGTGGCTGAACTAATTTATGTTCCCACCGACAGTATATAAGCATTTCCTTTTCATCACAACCTAGCCAGCATCTGTTATTTTTAGACTTTTTAATAATGGCGATACTGACTGGTGTGAGATAGTATCTCACTGTGGTTTTGATTTGCCAGTCTTTGATGATTAGTGGTGTTGTGCATGTTTTCATGTATTTAATAACTGCTTTAAATTGTCTTCTTTTGCAAAGTGTCTGCTCCTGTCCTTTGACCATTTTTTAATTGGGCGATTTCGTTTTTGCTTCTTGATTTGCTTCAGTTCCTTATAAATTCTGGATATTAGACCTTTGTCAGTTGCATATTTTGCAAATATTTTCTTTCTTTTTTTGTAGTCTGTTTACTTTGTTGATAGTTTCTTTTGCTGTGCAGAAGTTCTTTAGTTAAATTATGTCTGACTTGTCAATTTTGTTTTTGTTACAATAACTTTTTGGGACTTAGCCATAAAACCTTTGCCAAGGCCAATGTTGAGAAAAGTATTTACTAGATGTTCATCTAGGATTTTTATAGTTTGAGGTCTTACGTTTAAGTCTCTAATCCAGCTTGAGTTGATTTTTGTATATGGTTAAAGAAAGGTGAACAATTTCAATCTTCTGCATATAGTTAGCCAGTCATCCCAGCACAGTTTATTGTATAGGAATTCCTTTCCCTATTACTTGTCATTGTCAACTTTGTCAAAGATCAGATGGTTATAAGTGTGCAGCTTTATTTCTTAGTTCTCTC